GGGATTACAGGCGTGAGCCCCCATGCACAGCCTAATTTACTTTCTAGATTTCTCCCCTGAATTGCAAATAGTTAAAATTTCTGAAACGGCTGTCCTCTGGATGAGTACTACTATATTATGCATACTACAACATACATGTATTTTGGCACTTAAACATGCTTACACACATGTGCAAAGAAACACACAGCAGTTGATCCAAGTTTGGGCCCTTGATCCAAGCTGGACCAATTAAAATAGGGTCAATTAAAACCAGTGGAGGAAGACTCTTATCACCTCTTAGGTCACAAACTGGAAGGATAAGCTGGCAGCTCTCATGGTCTCCACTTCAAGCAAATGCCTATCAACTCTAAGTGATAATAAAGCAGACCAGAAGAAAAATTTCTCCAAATATATCATATTTATGGTATCACATCACATACCTAGAAAGTTCTCGCAGAGTCACGAGTTTCTGAATCCACATTTACTTCCTTTTAGTCTTACCCTAGCATTGTCCACAAAGAATTTTACATGAACCCATAGATCCACCTGTTTTTTTTGAGATGGGTTTTGTCCCTTGCAACCAAGAGTGCTAATTATATACATATATGTGCAATACATATACCCAAATAATTTACCAAACTGTATGTCTCTTCTTTATATATTCTGAAGTGCTTAATAGTATCTTTAAGAACTCAGGATCTAGATTAGACTTAAAATTGAAACCCAGCTTCACCATTTCCTATCTGTGTGAGGGCAACCTTCTGTACATTTCTGAATTTGTTTCCTCGTTTATAAAACAGGAACAACCTATTAGATATACCTCCCAAATATACTTTGAATCCATCTTCTTATATATCCATCTCTACTGCCACCAATACCTCTCATCTAGATTGTTAAATACCATACTGCAGACCAAACGCTATTTTGTAATATGGAAATCAAATAAGTTCTCTGCTTAAAATCTTTGATTGGCTTCTGATTGCACTGAACTCTGCTTTCTTGTCTATCCTTATCTTGCATCACTCTCCATCCCTCACCTGTGATGCTCTAGCCACACTAACCTTTTTCTGTTCCTAAAATATGTTAAGCTCCTTCCCCTTTCAAAGCTTTTACACTTGCTCTTCCTTCGGCCTGAAATGCTTTTGTCTCAGATCTTCACAAGGCTAGTTCCCTATCATTCAGGTCTTAACTCCAGTATCATTCCCTCAAAGAGACCTTTTCTGACCATATTCCATAAAGTAAAAGCAGCAGCAGAAGCATTACCACCACCAATACACTCTATAGCATTACTCTTACTTCATTTAAAAAAAAAAAATCACTTTTGGCCAGGTGTGGTGGTTCACACCTGTAATCCCAGCACTTTGGGAGGCAGAGGTGGGTGGATCACGAAGTCAGGAGATCGAGACCATTCTGGCTAACATGGTGAAACCTTGTCTCTACTAAAAATACAAAAAATTAGCCGGGCATGGTGGTGAGCACCTGTAGTCCCAGCTACTCAGGAGGCTAAGGCATGAGAATCACATGAACCCCGGAGGCAGAGGTTGCAGTGAGCAGAGATTACGCCTCTGCACTGTAGCCTGGGTGACACATCAAGGCTATGTTTCAAAAAAAAAAAAAAAGGCACTCTTCATAATATTCTTTTTTTTTTTTTTTTTTTGAGACAGAGTCTCGCTCTGTCGCCCAGGCTGGAGTACAGTGGCGCAATCTCGGCTCACTGCAACCTCTGCCTCCCAGGTTCAAGAGATTCTCCTGCCTCAGCCTCCTGAGTAGCCGGGATTACAGGTGCACGCCACCACGCCCAGCTAATTTTTATATTTTTAATAGAGACAGGGTTTCACCATATTGATCAGGCTGGTCTTGAACTCCTGACCAGGTGATGTGCCCGCCTCGGCCTCCCAGAGTGATTGGATTACAGGCGTGAGCCACTGCGCCCAGCCAATCTTCTTTTTCAACTTCTTTGATTGATGATTACAGAAAAGTTAGCAGCAAAATAGCACCTCACTTCTCCCAACATTAACATCTTACATAACTATAGTACCACTATCAAAACCAGGAAAATAGTATTGGTGCAATACTATCAATTTAACTCTAGCTCTTATTCATTTCACCAGTTTTTCCACTAATGTCCTTCTATTCCAGGATCCTATCCACAAGTCCATGTTGCATTTAGTTATTTCTCCTACTCTCATCCAATCTGTGGCAGTTCCTTTATCCTTCAGTCTGTTACAGTCTTGACACCTTAAAGAATATTAGCCATTTTGTAGGCTATCAATCAATTTGGAATTGTTTAATCTTTCCTCATTATTACAGTAAGATTATACATTTTTGGCAAGAAAAAAACAGAAATAATATTGTATTCTTCTTAGTGTATCATATCACGGGGTATATCAGCATGTCCTACTACTGGTGATGCTCACCTTGATCACTTAATTAAGATGGCATCTTCAGGCTTCTCCTTTAGTAAATAATCTTGGGGAAGATACTTTGAAACTATGCAAATATCCTATTTCATTTCAAACTTTTGACCATTACTGCCAAGTGCCGTGGCTCGTGCCTGTAATCCCAGCACTCTGGGAGGTCGAGGTGGGAGAACTGCTCGAGTCCAAGAGTTTAAAAGAAGCCTTAGCAACACAGTGAGATGCAATCTCAAAAAATAAAAAATTAGCCAGTTGTAGTGGCATGCACCTGTAGTCCCAGCTACTCTGGACTCATTCTTTTAGTTGGCCCTTTATAGTTGAAAATTCATAAGTTTAATGTGGCTATGATATAACCAACTTATATAAATTGCAGTAGGAGATCAGAACAATTTCACCTTATAAAACTCTAACATCCCCATCCAGGTGCTATAGGTACATCAATCTACAACAAATACCCAAATCCTCCAAGATGAACTCACCCTTTCTACCTCACTAAGACTTACTTTTATACCTAATCTCTCAGTAGCAGCACAGCTCTCCATGGCTGAAACCTCAGAAACATTATTGGCTTGATTATCTGTGATATGTAGCCCCATCCATGTGAACAACGTTCCACCTCTAAGAAGTTTCTCTCTCCCCTTGTCTTTTCCATTCCCACTACTGTAACTCTGCTTGGTCTGCCTAATACCTTGCCTGAATTACTGCAAACGCTTTCTACTTCTTATTCCCAGCTCTTCCCCATTTCAGTCTTCCATCTTTCCTGTCACCAGATTAATCTTCCTAAGGGACAACTCTGTGGCCCACCTGTTTTCAAAAAAAAGTCAATAGCCTTCCTGGCCTTCTGAATGTAGCCCAAGCCTGGATTTACATATCTATAAAGAACTTCTATAAATAACCACCAAATTATCCTTCCTTTTGCCAATATCAAAACTATTTCAACCGCTCAAAGAGGAAGCACACTGCAAATCAAGGACAAGCAAAACAAAAACTAAAAGAACCAAAGGGAAAAGACATCCAACTCAGCATGATTTCTGAACAAAGAATAAAATAAACACAACTACCACTTAAGATGGACAAAGCCAAAGAAAAGTCAAAAGTAAAAAAAAATTTTGAATCCCATTCATAGTTGAAAAGTATTTGATTATGGGCAAGCTAGAATGTTATTCCTGAGAATGCAAATCTAAATCAAGTTCCTAGGCTCCAAAGACTGAAAGGAACAAGAGGAAATACTATTGTTGTGTTTCAACAATTCCAAGACTGTCCCAACTAGATTCTAACTTTACTTATACTAAAGCACCCTAAAGTCAGTCCTCCATGTAAAAGAAAACACCTACCATGGTACTATCACTGACCAGTTTTTTGTTTTTTAAAATATGCATTTTATCATACAACATAAAGTAAATAAAACAATATAAAAAGCTGATGCTTTCATCAAATTATTAATATTTTGAGGCCAGGTATGGTGGCTCATGCCCATAATCCCAGCATTTTGGGAGGCTGAGGAGGAAGGATTGCTTGAGGCCAGGAGTTCAAAACCAGCCTGGGCTACATAGCAAGACCTGCTCTCGATGAAAAAAAAAAAAAAAAAGAAAAACACATTAGCCAGGTGGCCGGGCGCAGTCGCTCATGCCTGTAATTCCAACACTCTGGGAGGCCAAGGCGGTGGATCACCTGAGCTTAGGAGTTCAAGACCAGCCTGGGCAGCATGGTGAAACCCCATCTCTACTAAAAATAAAAAAATTAGGCATGGTGGCATGCGCTCATAGTCCCAGCACTTGGGAGGCTGAGGCAGGAGAACTGCTTGAGCCTGAAAGGCAGAGGTTGCAGTGAGCCAAGATTGTACCACTGCACTCCAGCCTGGGCAACAGAGACAGAAAGAGCCCTTGTCTCAAAAAAAAAGATAAAGTATATATATATATACACACACACATATACATGTATATGTATATTAGTCAGGCATGGTGACGTATGCCTGTAGTCCCAGCTACTTAGGAGGCTGAGGCAGGTGGGGCCCTTATGCCCAGGAGTTACAGTGAGGTATAACTGTACCACTGCACTCCAGCCTGGGCAACAGAGCAAGACTTTGTTTCTAAAAATAATAATAATTAATATTTTACCTCATGACAAATGAAGTTTGAAACATCTTCCCAAAAGGAGAAGAAATATCCCCTAGGAATAAATGATTCATTATTCACTAATTTGGTGTTTGCAGCCACTTCAGAGAACATAACTGGCACAAAAAAAGAGAGTCAATTGTATCTCTAAGGGCGCATATATTACTTGCAACATGAAAATCACAAAAATGGTTAACTTTAGATATCCATAAAACATAATAAAAGAAAACTTACCAAAAGTTAATTATATTAAATAACCTCTAAAACAGGTATGGCAAATAGATTTGATCTTGCATACCAGCTCCAAAGGACAACGTGTTCTGAATAAGATACTTCCTATGAAGCTGTGCTATGGTTCATAGGCAAAAAGAACTAAAATCAACAAACAATGTTGGCTGTTAAATAACGTTATTTGTGTTGTTTATTTGCCATTCCTATGCTTCTGTATTTCAAATAAACCCACAAAATGTACAATTACAACATTACTTACTGCTTCAACAGAGTTACATTCTCGTCTTGTTTCTAAATAACGTAGTGCTCGTTTTTCTTCTTCTTTTAATTTAGCATCTGCCTGTCCAGAAGCAAAATAGCAATCATTTTAAGAATATCAAGAGAATTGCTCAAATTATCACATATGCTAAGTTCTAACTTACATATTTCATATAATTCTGTACACCATTTTGTTGTAAATACGAGGGTGCTTGTGTTCTATAAAATCTCTCTGTTGAATCCAAGTATGCCTTCTCAAAATTGTCCCTATAAATTTGAAGCTTATCCTCAGGATTAGAACAAAGGTTAACTGAAAAACAGAAAATAAAGTATTACTCCAATTATGATTAAAATCAATATTTTGAGTATAATGAAATAAATATCGAGGACTCACTATGTGCAAGGTAATAATGCTCAAGAGAACATATAATTATATAAGACAAAATCCTTCTCCATAAGATGATGACAGCACAAAGCAGTAAAGTAACAAATAAATAATACAAATATAGACTATTTTATTTTTGAATAGGTAAGAGACTGACTTCTAACTGAATAATCAAGGAAACGTTCACAGAAGCAATGGGATTTAAACTGAATCTTAAAGAATCAACTAGAATTTGCATAAATGGAGATTAGTAAGGTAAGTAAATATTCAGAAGCAGAAAAGCACAAGAAAATATGACTAGGTTGTCTAAGTGGATTGCAAGGTTAATAGAAGGTAGGGTAGAATGGTAAATTACAAATGGTTGTGAAGATGTCCTGGGCAACATAGTAAAATCATGTGTCTACAGAAAAATTAAGGCCGTGCACAAAGGCTCACACTTGTAATCCCAGCACTATGGGAGGCCAAGATGGGCAGATTACTCGAGGTCAGGAGTTTAAGATCAGCCTGGCCACTATGGTGAAACCCCGTCTCTACTAAAAATACAAAACTTAGCTGGGCGTGATGGCACACACCTGTAATCTCAGCTATTCTGAAGGCTGAGGTATGAAAACTGCTTGGACCCGGGAAGTGGAGGTTGCAGTGAGCTGAGAGCATGCCACTGCACTTCAACCTGGGTGACAGAGTGAGATTCTGTCTCAAAAAAAGAAAAAAAAAAAAGAAAAACATTAGCCAGGTGTGGGGTACATGCCTGCAGTCCCAGCTACTCAGGAGGCTGAGATAGGAGGACTGTTTGAGCCTGAGAGGTGGAGGTTCAATGAGCCATGATCACGTCACTGCACTCCAGCTTGGGCAACAGAGCAAAACCCCATCTCTTTAAAAAAAAAAAAAAAAAAGCATGGTGTAGCACTTAAGGGGTAAGTAGAAAAAAATACCAATAAAATAGTGCTTAAACATTTATGAACAGCATATGGGTTAAACAACAGCAATAAGATCATTATAAGAGGACTGTTTCAAAACTCTGCATGTAAAGTTTAATGTCTGGTGGCAGTTCAAATAAAAACAAATAAATTTCAGGAGCACTGCTAATGAAAATCTAAAGGCTTGATAACTAAAGGATTATGGGGGCAATGAAGAAAAGCCAGTCAAAAATAACTCTATAGGTTCATTAACTCAATAAATACTTATCTAGAGTGATTTTGTGCCATGCATTCTATGTTCACTAAAGACACAGTGCTAACAACACAATTAAACAAAAGTACTATGCCAAGGAGGCACAGGTACTGTGAAGCACTAAATGACAGAATTTAACTTAGTCTGGGAATGAAGAAAGGCCTCCATGAGGAGGATGAAGCATGGGGAAGAGGCATACTCTAAGTAACAGGAAACAGATTAGAAGTCAGAGGGAATGTGCTCCTACATGCTCTCCTTTTCATTACTTTTCATGGAAGTAACCTGCTTCCTGAAACATGAATACCTAACCTTTTAATGAACTAGTTACCTTTTATAAGCTACACATTCAAATTTATATATCTAATTTACTTCACTAAAAAGACTTGCCAAGAAATTAATGGCATGAAGAAAATATTAACCACATTAATATGAATTTTTATACACTTTTAAGCAGAATTAATATCATTTGTGTACTCTTAAAAAAAATCTAGTACAAAAAGTAGATGTAACTTTGTATGCTAATAAACACAACTTTGTGCTATTCTGTAATTGTTCTACAATTTCCATGAAACAGAAATTATGATCATAAAAGTTTAGAACATACCATACGATTCTCTAACCCCAATAACCAGCTGAGAATCGAAAGCTTCTCCCAATCTTTCAGCATGTACCAGCTTCATTGCACTATCTTGGAGTCTGTTTTTTATATTTGAAAAGATGGACTCATTCCATGTATCAAGCATAAGCTAGGAAAACAAGAAAAAATTGTAACGTAATTTTCAATTATTAATATACAAAGTATCATGTACAAACACTAAAAAAGGCAATCAAATTCATAGGCCTGGGCCAGGTGCAGTGGCTCATGCCTGTACTCCCAGCAATTTGGGAGGCCGAGGCAGGTGGATCACTGGAGTCCATGAGTTCGAGACCAGCCTGGGAAACAGGGCAAACTCCTGTCTCTATAAAAAAAATACAAAAAAATAAAAAAATAGCCAGGCGTGGTGGTGTACACCTGTAGTCCCAGTGAGCCAAGACCATGCCACTGCACTCCAGCCTGGGTGACAGAGTAAGACCCTGTCTCAAAATAACTTAGGTTGCATTCACTCAAATACTTCAGGGAAGCAGTATATTTAGCATAATGGTAAACAAGGGTAGATGTAGGAGATACATTAATAACAACAACAATAACAACAAGAGTTAACAGTTTTCTAACACTCATTCTGTACCTGGGACTGCTCTTTGTATTGTCCGCATATAACTCATTTAATCCTCATAATCTTGATATAGGTACTATGATTATCCCCCCTTTAGATATGAGAAACTTGGGGTACAGATAGCAAAGCTAACTTTCCACATTTATGCATCTCATCAGTGGCAACACTGAGATGTGAATCCAAAAACTGTGGTCCCAGAATTGATACACTTAATCACTAAGTGAATGCTGCTTCCCACAACCAATAGAGAATGTCAAAACTTCCCACAACCAACAGAGAATGGCCAAAAAAAGAGGACAAGATTATGAGACTACAAATTAAATAGCAGCCAGAAGTGTTTTTCACTTTTATTTTTTTCTTGGCACTAATTTCCCATATTGCAGTGATTTCTATCACTGAAGAACCACTGGGTATCTAAATTTACAGAATCCCTGTCAACATCAGAGCAAATTTTAAGGCTGGGATGGGGCAACAATGCCCAGGTTACACTATTGTAATGCCGGAGTGTGTTACTATAACCATCACAGCAAACAGCAAATTGACTAAAGTTCAAATGGCATTTTTTACTTTTCAAATCTATGGTTCCATTTGATTCTTACAAGTGGAAAGATACATGGAAAATGAGGACAGAGTTTGAAGAGTTGAAAGGAAAACCTAGGACCCTTCATATTCAGCACTGAGTTCTTTCCATTAAATCATGACTGGTTACTTGACACAAATTTTGAATAGAAAATAGGCACAGTACACATTGAACTTATAATAGAAGAATTAAGTAAAAGGGAAATTATAAAGATAGCAGTTTAGCCACAATTAAATATAAAGACATCAGAAGGTAACCTAATAAAAGGAAATTTTTGAGAGAGGAGAAAGTAATTTAATTTCTAGTAAGAGTATAGGCTGGGTGTGGTGGCTCATGCCTGTAATTCCAACAGTTTTGGAGGCCGAGACAGGCGGATCACCTGAGGGCAGGAGTTCGAGACCAGCCTGGCCAACATGGTGAAACCAGGTCTCTACTAAAAATACAAAAAATAGCCGGGTGTGGTGGCGCATGCCTGTAGTCCCAGCTACTCATGAGGCTGAGGCAGGAGAACTGCTTGAACCCGGGAGGTGGAGGCTGCAGTGAGCAGAGATTGCACCACTGCACACTCCAACCTAGGCGACAGAGTGATGCTCCAGTTCTTAAAAAAAAAAAAAAGAGTATAAAAAAAGAATAGAGACATAAAATACTGAAGATAATACCAGGAAAAGGAGAAAGTAAAAAGGAAAAGTAAAGGAGATAATGGTTGAAGACACAGATCTATAGCTTAAGACCACATAAAAAGATGAAAGAAGATTGAAGCTAAAGACATAAATAAGAGTATTATTCAATAAAATCTAATAAGAGCTGAAAAGCAATTTACATGTGAAGTAGAAAAACTCACTTAAAAGTTTAAATTACTTTCAAATGCTTCCAAATCACCCTCTTTCTGAAGAATATTAGGAAAACAATGCGAAAAACAGTCTTACCTTTCGAACAATACTGTCTTCCACATTTGATTTTTTATTGCTGCCCTGTTTACCCATTAAAGTAATCTCTAGTTGACAAAAAGGTTTTGGTAAAATATCACATTGTGTAAAGAACTTTCTCCATTCAACAATATATGCTTTTAGCAAAGCCGTATCATCTTGATGGCTCAGTACTCGCTGAAAAAAAGAGATGTACCAATTTGAAATAAATGCAGTTGCTTTGAAAAATTAAGAACAAAACATATCCATGCCAAAATTTAAATTGTACATAATTTTTAAATTATTGTACAAGCTCTTATATCCAAAAGAAATTAAAACATGTTCACAAAAAAAACTTGTATACGAATGTTCATAGCGGCATTATTCAAAATAGATAAAAAGTGGAAACAACCCAAATATCCACTAGCTGAAATATGGATAAACAATATAGGGGCCAGGCATGGTGGCTCATACCTGTAGTCCCAGCACTTTGGGAGGCTGAGGCAGGAGGATTGCTTGAGCTCAGGAATTTGAGACCAACCTGGGCAACACAGCAAGACCTCATCTCCACAAATAAAACAAAAAATTAGCTGGATGTGGTGGTGCGTGCCTGTGGTCCCAGCTACTTAGGAGGTTGAGGATTGCTTCAGAGGCTACGGCAAGCTGTGATTTTGCCACTGCACTCTGGCCTGGGCGACAGAACAATACCCTGTCTCAAAAAGAAAAAAAAAAAACTAAACGAATGGAAAAAGAAACCAAAAACACCCACAATACATGGTATATCCAAACAACAGATACTATTCGGCCATAAAGAGAAACAAATATTGTGAAAGAAACTAGTCACAAAAGGCCATACATTATTATTCCAATTATAGAAAATGTCAAATATAGACATATCCATAGGGACAACAGATCAGTGATTTAGTGGGTTGGGAGAAGGGAGTGACTGTTCATAGGTATAGGATTTCTTTTTAGGGTGATGAAAATATTCTGGGATTACTGGGTGGTGGTTGCACAACTTTATGAAATATACTACAACTCACTGAATCATATCCTTTAAGAGAGTAAATTTTATGGTATGTTAATTATATCTCAATTTTTTAAAAGGTGGTGGAGTCACGCCAGGTACAGTGGCTCATGCCTGTAATCCCAGCACTTTGGGAGGCTGAGGCAGGTAGATTACGAGGTCATGAGTTCGAGACCAGCCTGACCAACATGGTGAAATCCTGTCTCTACTAGAAATACAAAAATTAGCCAGACATGGCAGCATGCACCTGTAATCTCAGCTGCTTGGGAGGCTGAGGCGGGAGAATCACTTGAATCCGGGAGGCGGAGGTTGTAGTGAGCCGAGATCGCGCTAGGCGACAGAACGAGAATCCATCTCAAAAAAAAAAAAAAAAAGGGTGGTGGAGTCTATTTCTCCACTATTAAGAGTTTGGGCTGGTCCTGTGATTTACTTTGACCAAGAGAACACCACCAATGTAACACTGTGAGATTTCTCAGCCTATTCGTGAACAGGTATTGTAGACTCTACTTTCATCTCAAAGGCTGGTTTCCTTGAGAATGAGAAACTACAGAGGGAAGAGAAAGCTGCACCAAAAACCATGTATGTGTTTCAATGCTTTCTTAGACCACCTTGTCCAACAACTCACTGCTGCTGCATTAATAAGCTTAGACAAAACCAGCTGAGACCAGCCCAAATTGCTAAGCCACAGAATTGTGAACAAATAAAACAGTTGTATTAATCTAGGTTAAAAAAAAAAAAAAGACTCCACCTATGTTTATTATTTTTACTTCTTTTTTTTTTGTTCTTTAAAAAATGTTATAAACATTTCAATGAATATTGCCTTTCAATCATTTGGAGATCTGGTCCTTCCTAACAAGGTACGTTCAATTGAAGATTACCTAGTAAAATGATTCACAATTAAAAAAAAAAATTCTTAAGCATTTAAAAATCTCTTTAAGATGGGTCTTTTTAAGACCCATGTCTGGCATTGCTATTCCTATTAACTGCTCAGAATCAGTGGTGCTAAATCCCATTCTTGGATTCTTGCTGATGTCTACATTTCCAGACTTTATTCAGTCATGTTACAGTGAAACCCTTCCCTACTTTTTTTTGCCAGTGTTCAGTATATTTTTTAACATCTGTTAATAACATCTAAGGTAATTCTTTATAAGTTTATTTCCAGACACTGAAGAATAAAGCTCTATCAATCTGAAATAAACATAATTTATCTTTATCAAGTAATAAAAAGAAAACATTGTACATTTCCCAATGCAAGTAGAAACTGTATCTCTAAATTAGTTCTAAGAAAATAGTTTTAAATTGTGACACTGAAACATTTAAATTTCTAAGTGCTTGAAAATAGAATTTATTTTCATTAAAAGGTAACTTCCTATAAAACTACAATTTAAAAAATTTGTCAAGAAATTATCAATAAAACACTTAATTTCTTAAGTAATATCCAATACATTAGTCTTACTCCATCATGGTAGTAGCTACTAGCAAAATTAAAATATATGCCAATCATATACTTGATTTCAAATATCTTAAGTCATATATAGAAAAAACTCATTTTTAATTTTCAACTGCTAAGCACCTTTTAGTATTTAATAACACGATTTAACAAACAACTTTTACTAATGTTGTACAAGACATTAATGGAATGATCCAACTAAAGAATAAGAAATTCTAGCCTGGACTTCTAGCCATCAGATCAGACTTTTTTTTTTTCTTTTTCAGCCTCAACCTTCTGGGCTCACACAATTCTCCTGCCTCAGCCTCCAGAGTGGCTGCAACCACAGGTGTGCATCATCACGCTTGGGTAATTTTTTATTTTGTATAGAGACGAGGTCTCACTACGTTTCCCAGGCTGGTCTCAAACTCTTCAACTCAAGCAGTTTCCCTGCCTCAGCCTCCCAAAGTGCTGGGATTACAGTCCTGAGCTACTGTGCCCTGCCCCACACCTCATGTTATAGAAAGGAAAATAATCTCACGTCCTTAGGGTCCTCCTCAAAAAGGTAAGGGATTTATTCATAAGAAAGACTGTGGCTGATTTGAAACATTACAAGGTGTCAAAAAAAAAAAACAACAAAAAAAAACTAACTCTTGAATAACTGATCTAATGCCTAAATGAGCTTTGTCTTCCTTTTGATATTATTAGCCATTTATACATAATAGCAATACAAGAGTGCCGAATTTTGCCTCAGCACTAGCAATACAAAGGACCGTCTAAAGAATTTACAACTGGAGAAGGATCTGGAATTGAAATTACTGTCAACTCGAGAAGAGGTATTAGTAATGAGAGGAAAAAAACAGATTTGTGTGGACTGATGTGTAGCCAAAAAATAATGATGGTGGGGACTTCTAAAAAAATAAAAAATTGAATTCGCTATAGCATCTTTTAATTAAATATAATATGTATTCTCTTGACAGAAGTATCACTGTGGGAAAAAAATAATCCAACTAATGACGATCATTTCTTTAATAAATTTATTTAACAAATGTGTCAAAAGTCAATGCAATATTTTTAAATTACTTCAAGAAGTTCTACTTCCAAAATTATAAAATATGATATTATCTGAGAAGTTTTAAAACAAGTCTAAAATAAGCACGTAGAACTTACCGCCTGTGCTTGCTTAATAAACTCAAGAATATCTTCTTTTAAAGCCTGATGAATTTTTGCTGGGCCTTTATCATCCCAAAGACAGACTGCATGCACATCCCTGTGAATATAAAGTAAGTAAACAAACATTAATGACGAAACAACAACTGAACAAAACATCTTAAATTCTATTTCAGTACAGTTTCCACGGACCATATTAGAACCAAGCTAATACTGTCTGAATTCATTCATATAAACCAAGCACGCTTGTAAATTGCCTCATATATACACTTGTTTCTATTTTTATTTTCTTTTGCCATTGTTTTCCTCTTTAATTCTCTGCTACTTACCACATAAAATTTAGTTATGAAAGCATGTCTCCATCTCCCAATGCCACTGCCCAAAGTTAACTGCTAGTAATATTTTCCTGTGCAAAAACAACTACAAATCCTTTTAATTCTTTAACACAATAGTTGTATACTATTTTGTCCTTTTACTTCAATTATTTTAAAAATTTATTTAATTTTTATTTTTTAGAGACAGGGTCTTACTCTGTTGCCCAGGCTAGCATGCAGTGGCACGATCATGGCTCACTGTAGCCTTGACCTCCTGGGTTGAGGAGATCCTCCCACCTAAGGCTCCCAAAAGCTGGGACTACAGGAGCATGCCACCATGCCGAATTTTTAAAAAATTTTTTTGTAGAGACAGTCTTGCTATGTTGTCCAGGCTGGTCTTGAACTCCTGGTTTCAAGGGATCCTCCTGCCTCAGTCTCCAAAGTGCTGGAATTAAAAGTGTGAGCCACCATGCCCAGCCTTGTTATATACTCTGTCACCCAGGCTGGAGTGCAGTGCCACAACCATAGCTCACTGCAGTCTCAAACTCCTGTGCTCAAGGGATCCCCCCGCCTCAGCCTCCTGAGTAGCTGGGATTACAAGCACGCACCTGTCTAGTTTTTCTAATTTTTGATAGAGATGGGGTTTTGCTATGTTGCCCAGTCTGGGCTTGAACTCAAATCCTCAAGCAATTCTCCTGCCTCAGCCTCCCAAAATGGTGGGATTGTGGGCCTATTTTGTCTTTTTAAAAGTATTAGTCACTTAAATCACAATAAAGCAAATCTCCTAGCTTCCCCATGTATTACCCATTTACACATCAATTACTGTTTCTCCTTTAAACAAAAAAACAAAAACAAAAGTTACCATAAACTGAAATACAAAAACTCAGAACTTACAAAGCTGACATAGTTTACAAAAAGGTCCTTCATTATAGAAATATATTTAATACTAGTACAGCATGTTCAGAAAATTAATTTCTCATTACCTAGTTGTAGGCCAGGTGTGGTGGCTCAGCCTGTAATCCAAGCACTTGGGGAGGCTGAGGTGGGCAGATCACTTGAGGTCAGGAGCTCAAGACCAGCCTGGCCAACATGGTGAAACCCCCATCTCTACTAATAATACAAAAATTAGCCAGGCATGGTGGTGCACACCTGTAATCCCAGCTACTTGGGAGGCTGAGGCATGAGAATCACTTGAACCCGGGAGGCAGAGGTTGCAGTGAGCCAAGATGGCACCACTGAACTCCAGCCTGGGCGACAGAGCGTAACTGTGTCACAAAAAAAAAAAAAAAAAAAAAAATTTTTTTTTTTTTTTTTTTTTGAGGCGGAGTTTCACTCTGTCGCCCAGGCTGGAGTGCAGTGGCCGGATCTCAGCTCACTGCAAGCTCCGCCTCCCGGGTTCACGCCATTCTCCTGCCTCAGCCTCCCGAGTAGCTGGGACTACAGGCGCCCGCCACCTCGCCCGGCTAGATTTTTGTATTTTTTAGTAGAGACGGGGTTTCACCGGGTTAGCCAGGAGGTCAGGAAAAAAAAAATTTTTTTTAAAAAAGTAAAAAAATTACCAAGTTGTAAGTGAAATTACCAAGCTGTAAATCAGAGAAACTTACAACAAAAGGACAGGGTCACACTGAAGAATCATTCATTCAAAAAATGTTCCCCACTGATTCATTCAATTCATAATGGAGCCTCTACTATAAAAAAAAGTCAAAGAAATCCAAATAAAACATCTCCAGAATTATAACATGTCAATAATCAAATTGTTTTATATTCTAACTATTCTGTTCTTTTCTTTTTTTTGAAAGTGTCTCACTCTGTTGCCCAGTCTGAGGTGTAGTAGCATGAACACAGCTCACTGCAGCCTCAACCTCCTGGGCTCAACCCTGCCTCAGCCTCCCAACCAGCCGGGACCACAGGTGTGTGCCACCATGCCTGGCTAATTTTTTATTTTTTGTAGAGACACGGTCTCCCAACGTTGTCTGGACTGACCACGAACTCCTGAACTCAAACAATCCTGCCACCTCAGCCTCCCAAAGGGCCAGGATATAGGCATGAGCCACTGGGCTTGGCCTATATTCCAATTTTTAGAGACATTATTAGAGCCCAAAGTTTTGTCTCCATATTACTTTGAATGCTTTTTTCACTTGTTCAATTCAGCTTGATAATGGTATCTGGTCCAGTGCCTAGGATGCTATAAGCACACAAATATTTGTTAAATAACAATATAAAAGGTAACACCTGACTACTTATTATGTGCCAGATACTATTTATTTATTTATTTATTTATTTAGAGATGGAGTTTCGCTCTTGTTGCCCAGGCTGAAGAGCAATGGCATGATCTTGGCTCACTGCAACCTCTGCCTGCTGGGTTCAAGCGATTCTCGGGCCTCAGCCTCCAAAGTAGCTGGGATTACAGGCATGCGACACCGGCTAATTTTTGTATTTTTAGTAGAGATGGACTTTTACCATGTGGGTCAGGCTGGTGTCGAACTCCTGACCTCAGGTGATCCACCTGCCCTGGCCTCCCAAAGTGCTGGATTACAGGCGTGAGGCACCAGTCATATACTATTCTAAATTCTTTTAACCTACTTTATCTTCATAGCAAGTCTTAAGTACTCCTATTTTATCCTTATTTTACAGATGATGGGGAAACTGAAGGAAAACAATCCTAGATTACACAGTATATGGTGGAGCCAGGAAATCAGGCTCCAGAACTCACACGAAACTAAATCTACTCTTGAAAAAACTCTCCAATCTATTAAACAAGAAGCTAAAGTGATCTTTACAAAACTCAAGTCACATCATATTACCCCATACTTAAATCCTCTAATGGTTTCCCAACACTCTTAGAATAAATTACAAAACAATTAAATGACTCCTGCGTACCTAATCAGTCTCACCTAATGACTAAAGGAATCTAGAGTCTACAAGAAGAGACTGGCTGGGCATACTGGTTCATGCCTGTAATCCTAGCACTCTTGGAGGGCAAGGCAGGAGGATCATTTGAGGCCAGAAGTTCAAGACCAGCCCAGGCTGCATAGCAAGACCTCATCTATACAAAAATAAAATAAAATAATTAATTGCGCATGGTGGCACATGCCTGTAGTCCTAGCTTTTCAGGAGGCTGATGAGGGAAGATCACCCGAACTCAGAAGTTCAAGGTTACAGTGAGCTACAATTGTGCCACCGCACTCCAGCCTGAGCGACAGAGTAATGCTCTGCCTCTAAAAACAATTTTTTTTTTAAAAGAAATAGGCCGGGCATGGTGGCTCATGCCTTTAACCCTAGCACTTTGGGAGGCCAAGGTGCACAGATCACTTGAGGCCAGGAGTTTGCAACCAGCCTGGCCAACATGGTGAAACCCCATCTCTACTAAAAATACAAAAGTTAGCCAGGCGTGATGGTGCGCGCCTGTAGTCCCAGCTACTTGGGAGGCTGAGGCAAGGGAATTGCTTGAACCCAGGAAGCAGAGGTTGCAGTGAGCCAAGATTGCACCTCTGCACTCCAGCCTGGCCAACAGGGCAAGACTCTGTCTCAAAAAAGAAAAAAAAAAGAAACTGATAGAAAATTGATTGACTATAACTTAGTATGTTACAACTATTTTATGCATATAAACAAAAGATGGTTTAGGAACTCAGGGACAGGGTAAGGGTGAGTGAGAGGTAGAGAAGGAAAGGCTTTCTGGAATAGTTGGTTCCTGAGCTTAATCTCCAAAAATAGGAGTATGCCAGGCAAAGATGTACAAAGATAGAAGAGAGGATATTTTATGAAAAAAACGACAGTATAAAGAATTGTGGGCCAGGTGTGGTGGCTCACACTTGTAATCCCAGCTCTAAGGGATGCCAAAGTTGGTGGATCACTTGAGGCCAGGTGTTCAGGACCAGCCTAGACAACATGGTGAAACCCCATCTCTACTAAAAAAAAATACAAAAATTAGCCTGGTGTGGTGGTGCACACCTGTAGTCCCAGCTATTTGGGAGGCTGAGGCATGAGAATTGCTTGAACCCAGGAGGTGGAGGTTGCAGTGAGCCGAGATTGTGCCACTGCACTGCAGCCCAGGCAACAGAGCAAGACTGTCTCAAAAAAAAAAAAAAAAAAAAAGAATTGTGGATGACTATGGTAACTGCAGTGAACTATAAGCACATCAGTGTGGCTACCCTGTAAAGTGAAATGCGAAGTGATAAGTGATAAGAAATTGAGCAACCCAACCCCCTTTTATCCCTTATATTCAATCATAGTCCTATTATATCCATCATGCAAATGTCTCTCTAATATGGACATTTCCCTCCCATTACCATAATGAGAGTCACCATCATCTTTTATTTAGTTTACTGTAACAAAACTAACATGCATTAACTGCTTACTATGTGCCAGACACTCCACATTGACTCGTGTTAGTTTAAGAAGCCTTTTAAGAAGCTGACGGGGCCTGGCGCAGTGGCTCACACCTATAATCCCAGCACTTTGGGAGGCCAAGGCAGGTGGATCACCTGAGGTCAGGAGTTCAAGACCAGCCTGGCCAACATGATGAAACTCCGTCTCCACTAAAAATACAAAAAATTAGCCAGGCGTGGCGGCAGGCGCCTGTAATCCCAGCTACTTGGGAGGCTGAGGCAAGAGAATCGTTTGAACCCAGGAGGTGGAGGTTGCAGTGAGCCAAGATCATGCCACTGCACTCCAACCTACGCAACAAAAGCAAAACTTTGTCTTAAAAAAAAACACACACACACACCAGGCCAGGTGTGGGCATGATGGCTCACGCCTGTAATCCCAGTATTTGGGAGGCTGAGCC